AGCTATGGGGGTAGGGGAAAGATAATGCCATAAACTGTCAATTGTCTGTGTAAACAATCAACAATCATACACTACTCCATCAGCACAAATGTATATCTAGTAGTATATAATGACAAAACATCTCAACACCCACCATTCATATCAAAAATGGGGAGAACGCAGGCTAAAAAATCCAAAACAAATGGATTTCAGAGAGGGCATGTTCCACACAACAAGGGAAAGACATAGACACCTGTTCCACACCATTGCCCGGACCAATCAACAGGTTACCCCAGGATGTATTTGAATCCAGAGTACAAACTGACAGGACAGGAAGAATGGCAATATCTAATGCTGAGGGCTTGCTGTCGTACATGAAATTTCTACGTCCCAAACCAACAAAGACAGCTATAGATTCCTACATGGATTCTGAAGTACAGCACCCGGACAGCTACACATACAAGCTATACCGGGCCATAGATTTGGAGAAGTTATGGAATTCAGCAATCCGTCAGCACAACCGTCAGCACAAGCACTGCACAGGCTATCTACGGTTTAACTCAAAAAACTCAAGACAGTGGACTGGGGATGAACGGAGCAGCTTTACTGCAAAACATGTGGATATGTAAGTGAAAGCTGCCAGCTGTATGAGGACGAAAAACGAACAACGGTACCCCTAGGAGAGACCGGCGACGGAGTCAACTGAACTTGGGTATACAAATAGCACTCATGGCTGCATCAGTATCCAATTCAGCAATAATTGAAATATGCCTGACTGCCAACATCATCCCCCCTCTTATACTGGATTACAGAAAACAGCCCATCATGTTGGGGAGAAAATTGTCACCATGAGCAAGGCCAGTATTGAAAGAGAAAATTGTTGCATATAATACAATGCTTGCAAGCTGTCAAGGTGGTTCAGGGGAGACAACCTCCATTCTGTATAGGACAAACCTTTTCCACTGGTACACTCAAGAGACAGAGGTCTACTACAAATGTACCTGTTCTTTTTGTCGTTAAATCTTTTTCGCCAATAATATAAAATGGTTTTGAACACACTAAAGTCATATAGGGCACACTGACAATGTTGATTTTAGAATGCTTAATAACATTATTTCTATAAGATATGAATTATCTTTCAAAAACAAAAGAGATTTGTTGGTGATCCTACTCATGGAAGTATAATCGGTTATTTTCAATACGGGAATCACATGCAATGGAATGTTTCAGTTAAGGAACATTTGAAGGGAAAAGAAGCTGCACCTTCAAGGTAATTTCTGAAGTAAACTTACAATTTTTTTGTTATAGATAATGGAACAAAGTCAATTGTATTACAAAAAACGATTTTTGAATATGACTGTGGATTTCTGTATTCCGAATTCTCGCTCGGGTCATTGAACATCACTTTCGAACACAAGTCATATGTTAAAATATATAATGAACCAATCATCACCGAAATATTCTTCCTATTTTGTTATTTAACGTGACCTGGTACCGACTTCTAAGCGATTCCTTTCCATGGAACATTACTATAATACTACATATATGATATATAAGTCCTATTGCTCATATGAGTTCTGTAAACAGAACACACAACGCATTCTCAATGAGGAGAAAGTCTCGTTTAACATGTAAAAGATAATCTGTCTATTAGGGGAGGAAAAAACACCCGTGTCAGTGTCTGTTCAAATCTCAATTGTAAGCTTCATCAGTATGAACACCATACAAATCACCGACAACATAACACCATACAAATCACCGTTCAAATCACTGAAGACATAACACCATACAAATCACCATTCAAATCACTGAAGACATAACACCATACAAATCACAATACACATCACTGAAGACATCACACCATACAAATCACCATACAAATCACCAAAGACATAACACCATACAAATCACCATACAAATCACATACAAATCACCATACAAATCACCGAAGACATCACATCAATTCAAATTACCATTCAAATCGCCGAAGACATCACACCATACAAATCACCTACAAATCACCATACAAATCACCGAAGACATCACACCATACAAATCACCATACAAATCACCAAAGACATAACACCATACTAACCAACATACAAATCACCAAAGACAAAAACATTAATTTATGTTCCTTAAGGATGTTGTTTCGGAAACTGGCACGTGGCACACGACGTCGATGTTACTTGATGGCTAGTGATCGAGTAGGGAAAGAAACCGAAGATGTTCCAGACAAAACCATTGATTTCAAAGATATATAAGAAACCTGTTGCATGTACCTAGCGTAAAAGAGACTTTTGCTGCTGTAGACGGTCTTTACAATGTGATGACGAAAATATTCGTCAAATATAGGAAAACCTGCTTCCCTTAACAAATATTGCATTTCGTCTTTTTGGTGACGTTGTAAGATGGTAAACCAAACCCGAACAGTGTTTAAATCTTGAGTGCAGAAGAAATTTTGGGAAGATCAATTTCAGTTTTTCCAATAAAAAAAGTATATATAAAATAAACGCATTCGGTATTTCTTTCACGTAAATATACGGTCAACTTTACCTTGTCATGGGTTCTGTTAACAGAAATTGTTTAAATGAGAGTACAGTAAGAATACGTAACACAAAAGTGTATGTTTAACGGAAATACCTTGTTTGTAATGTGGGCCGTGTCTGGTATCATTACATATTAAACATGACAGGAGCTATTTTCGGTGATGATTGATTCATTTTAGCGTTAACAAATTGATCATGCCCGGACCGAAACAGGCGAAAATTTGTACACGAATATTTATGAAAATAATGTAGCTCTAAATACTGAACCCAGTCTTATCCAAAGTTATCAGTTTATCTAGAACATACTTTAAAGGCAGCTTTCCTTCCTAGTTTTTCTCGTGGACTAAATAATTCTAGGTCACGCCATTTGTATCGTTATACCGATTGTTGGATGTGGGGTAGATTTTTAGGAGATCATGCAACATGTTCAGGAAGCTACAAGAATCGGTATGTACTCCATCTCGACAGCTATGAAAATTTATCACTTTATGCTATAACCTAAATCTGGTAACTCTTATTCCGTCAGCATAATGTGATGTTATTGGTTACACCCATATCTTTATTGAACTTTACCTCCAGCTCACTTACTATAATTTTTTGCCCTGTTAGTAATATCACATATATATATAAAAATAATCAAACGTGTAAACGCTTCATCTTAGTTTTCATTCCTAGTTTTCCTTCTTTTTGGAGGCACGGTAGTCTAGTGGAAGGACGCCGGGCTAGTGACCGAAGGGTTGCGGGTTCGAGTCACGTCACAACACTGTGCTGTATCCTTAAACAAGATACTTAAATCAAGAAGTACGCGATTAGACAGTGCTAGAATTGTTGAATGCTAGCTGTGAGCGTAGAAATGGCAGCACCGGTTGTATATATGCTCCCCATTGAGTTAATAAAGATATTGGCTGGTTGCCAATGCCTTATAACCACGGATAATAATTTTGGGATAAAATTACAGTTCAGACCTTAACTTGTAATAATACTACAGCAAGGATTTTATGTTGAAATAAATAGTAGCTCAGACCTTATGTTATAATAATAATAATAATAATAATATCGCTCAATTATTGTGATGTTATAATATAAAAGCTCAATCCTTGTATTGTAATAATATAGCAACTCAATTATAGTATGGTAATGATATATTAGCTCAAACCTTGTGTTGTAATGATATCATAACTCAAACTTTGTCGTATAACAATGTTATAACTTAAACCTTGTGGTATAGTCATAGTATAGCTCAAACCGTGTGTTGTAATAATTTGACAGCTCAAACCGTGTGTTGTAATAATTTAACAGCTCAAACCGTGTGTTGTAATAATTTGACAGCTCAAACCTTGTGTTGTAATGAAATATTGGCTCAAACCGTGTGTTGTAATGAAATATTAGCTCAAACCTTGTGTTGAAATGAAATATTAGCTCAAACCTTGTGTTAAAATAAATTGACAGCTCAAACCGTGTGTTGTAATAAAATATTAGCTCAAACCGTGTGTTGTAATGAAATATTAGCTCAAACCTTGTGTTGTAATGAAATATTAGATCAAACCGTGTGTTGTAATAATTTGACAGCTCAAACCGTGTGTTGTAATGAAATATTAGATCAAACCGTGTGTTGTAATAATTTGACAGCTCAAACCTTGTGTTGAAATGAAATATTAGCTCAAACCTTGTGTTGTAATAATATGACAGCTCAAACCTTGTGTTGTAATGAAATATTAGCTCAAACCGTGTGTTGTAGTGAAATATTGGCTCAAACCGTGTGCTGTAATAATTTGACAGCTCAAACCTTGTGTTGTAATGAAATATTAGATCAAACCGTGTGTTGTAATAATATGACAGCTCAAACCTTGTGTTGTAATGAAATATTAGCTCAAACCGTGTGTTGTAATAATTTGACAGCTCAAACCTTGTATTGTAATGAAATATTAGATCAAACCGTGTGTTGTAATAAAATATTAGCTAAAACCGTGTGTTGTAATGAAATATTGGCTCAAACCGTGTGTTGTAATGAAATATTGGCTCAAACCGGGTGTTGTAATAATTTGACAGCTCAAACCTTGTGTTGTAATGAAATATTAGCTAAAACCTTGTGTTGTAATGAAATATTAGCTCAAACCTTGTGTTGAAATAATATAACAGCTCAAACCATTGTTGTAATATAACAACTCCAACTTTGTGCTGTAAATATATCATAGTTTAAACCATGTGTTTTAAAGATATTATAGCTAAGACCTTGTCTTGTAATTACATTATAGCTCAAATCTTAATGTAGAAATATTAATATTGTATGTAATACTTTTATTGTGGCGATGACAAACATTGTGATAAAACAGCCTATTATACCTCGTATGTTGGGTAAAGGGTACACCTTGACCTGACTCGGTGAGTTTGCGTAGGCACGACTTTGGTAGTTTGATGATAACTGTTTTATCATGCAACATGTGCTAGGTCATTTTGTTATCTATGCTAACTCACACAGTGTACAGGAATGTGAATACTTGTGTAGTCGCCAAATACCATTGAACGAGTAAACAGGTAGGATTATCATGCTCAAATTATGCACTGTTGTAGATATGTGTTATTTAGCACAGTCATATATATCTAACGATAAATGTCTATATTTTGTTGGCGTACAGATCTGTTGACGCCATGTATATGTATATACTGTACACACTGTATGGGTTATATTGCGTTGTTTCATTGTGTTATAACAATATAGTAGCTCAAAGCTTGTGTTATAACAATATAATAGCTCAAACCTTGTGATGTTAATAAATCATAGCTCTCACCTTGTGTTGTTAATATATCATAGCTCAAATCTTGTGATGTTGATAAATTATAGCTCAAACATTGTGATGTTGATATATTATAGCTCAAACATTGTGTTGTTAATATATTATAGCTCAAACCTTGTGATGTTAATATATTATAGCTCAAACCTTGTGATGTTGATATATTATAGCTCAAACCTTGTGTTGTTAATATATTATAGCTCAAACAATGTGATGTTAATATACTATAGCTCAAACCTTGTGATGTTGATATCTTATAGCTCTCACCTTGTGTTGTTAATATATTATAGTTCAAACCTTGTGATGTTAATATATTATAGCTCAAACCTTGTGATTTTAATATAGTATAGCTCAAACCTTGTGCTTTTAATATATTATAGCTCTCACCTTGTGTTGTTAATATATTATAGCTCAAACCTTGTGATGTTGATAAATTATAGCTCTCACCTTGTGTTGTTAATATATTATAGTTCAAACCTTGTTATGTTAATATATTATAGCTCAAACCTTGTGATGTTGATATATTATAGCTCAAACCTTGTGTTGTTAATATATTATAGCTCAAACCTTGTGATGTTGATATATTATAGTTCAAACCTTGTGATGTTGATATATTATAGACCAAACCTTGTGATGTTAATATATTATAGCTCAAACACTTTGATGTTAATATATTATATTTACATTTGCATGGCATTGTCACTATATAGCCTCTCTGAAAGCTGTGTCGTTGATGGGACTTAATTTCCATGCATCACGAGACACAATTCTTAGCGTATTAATACAACACTGACTGGAACTACAATATCCAATATAAATAAACATGACGGCTGCTGAAATATCGCTGGGTATTGTGAGATTTGACAATGCCATTGTAAATTTATGTCCAAAATAAAAAATAAAATAAAAAACACTTTTATTACAACGAAAACAAGACCAATGTCTGCAATATCGTACAAAATGCACATCGGGTGAAATCACCAATGCCGGCAATGGAAACAATTTTAACGCTCATGCAATTAACATGTATCAGAAATATCGTCTGTTACACTGCACTGATCAACAGGGGTTCGTTATAAATGTCTGAAATACACATATTATATAGACCTACTGACACATATGTTACAGACCTACTGATATGAGTCACAGCACACATAAACATTTCAGACATTTGTAACGAACCTGTGCTCCGTCGCAAGATCACTCACTTCAAACGCTATCAGTTTCACGCGTCTCGCATCCACCATTCCTCAGTTTCTGACGACATTTCAAATAACGAGGATGTTATAGAATCTACCGACTGTTGTCAGGTTCCCATACAATCAACAAATACATTCACGCCTGGATTCTTCACAAAATGAGCAAAGAGAAAAGTTCGAATTAACTTCCAAAAATAACTCCCTCGTGGAGTTCAAGGTCGGATTTACGGTGTTCACTGTATTTGTCCATGCGCGTAATTTTTTCCGGGGGAAAATCGAAACAATTTCAAATATAACTTTCAGCTCAGAGTTATATTGATAAACTTAAATCACCCAATAGAAATATCATACGCAATTGTATTGATACTGAATTGTGGAATAAAATTGAAGTGTTTGTTAAAATTTCAAAATACTACTTTGTTTGCCAATCAGCACGCGACAATACGCTGTTCACAGTTCAATGCTTAAATAGCTCTCACCTTGTGTTGTTAATATATTATCGCTCCAACCTTGTGATGTTGATATATTATAGCTCCAATCTTGTGATTTTCATATATAATAGCACTAACCTGATCTTTTAAACATATTATATTTGAAAAATCCGGTCATGTTAATAATTATGTGATAGCTCAAACTTGGTCTTGCAAATATGCTATAGCCCAGACGTTTTCTTGTGAATATATTATAGTTCAGACATTATCTGTATATATATTATATTTCAAATCGGGGCATGTAAATATGTTTTAGTGTAGACCTTGTATTGTCAATATGCCAAACTTTGTGATGATAATATATTATAGCTCAGACTTTGTCTTGCAAATATGATATAGCTCAGACATTGGTTTTTAAATCAATTATAGTTCAGACGTTGGTTTGTAAATAAATTATAGCTCAGACGTTGTCTTATAAATTTGACAAACCTTGCGATAAAAACCGCCTGTTGTACCTGGTATTTTGGGTAAAGGGTACACTTTGACCTGACCCTGTGATGTGATCTAATATTGTACAAGATCAGTTTGTTATCTATGCTAACTCACAAAGTGTACGGGAATGTGAATATTCGTGTAGTCGCCGAAAACAATTGAACGGATTAACAAGTTAGATTATCTTGATCAATTTATGCACTGTTGAAGAGTTAATTAGCATAGTCATATATATCTAGCGATAAATGTCTGTATTTTGTTATGTATATACAGTACATAATGTATATGTATATTCTGTTTATTTATGACTTATTTTTGTTTCTATAAATCATATTATGACAAATAGCTTCTTGGATTACACTGACTTTTTCCTTGTTTTGAAAAATCATATTATAGGAAATAGACTCTTAAATTACAATAACTTCCTATTATATTGCGTGTTTAACTATATATTCTATCTAGATAATATCATTTCGGAATGATGAATACTTACGTTTCGGTTTCCAACCAATTTTTCTCTCTCGAATAGATCGCAAAAACACCTACGAAACAAGCGGCGGGGTCATCTCGACTGAATTAACTTTTATCTCGCTCATTGACCTGGTACCTGTGAGAGACATGTGCGCCGTTTTATTTTCAGATGTTATTGCAGTTGAAAGGGAGATATTGGACAAAAATCCAACTTCAATCGAAATATCTACAACGATCTGTTTCTCTTGCTAAGTCCAATATAGCCAGCTTAGTTCGTGGCCCTTCACATTTTCGATTTTTTATAAACCGTAATACTGATATATATTTATTGCTGGCCTCCTTCGCCGTTTTGCTGACGGTATTTCATTACTCTTATCTGCCTACCAAATTTACGAAACATACAATCACTATCGTAAACGGCTTATTCTTCTGTTACCGACTTTTAATTATCCTTCTATCTATACTCAGCTTAATAAATTAACATCTATAACGATCTGATCTTCTATAACACCTGATTCTGAAAAGTTCCAATTTGTCGTCTACTCTAAGAATTTTGATTTTATCAGGACACTAATGCAAAGTCAACCAACACATACGTAAATCTAAATGGGGGTCAAAATGTTCTATCAACCAAACTTCAGCACCAATTTGCAATGTAGCTCTTTCTCTTCGCCGATCTATTGAATTTCATACTCGTCCGTTTGTGTCAGTGGACATGCAAACGAAACCGCTCAACATGCTTTTGTTCAGTGTCATATACAGAAAATGTTTACAGAAAAGCGCTTATACATATTGGGGAACCTTTTTTTTATTTATTACCATTAATTATTTTAATCATTACCATTTTTTTTATTTATTACCATTAAACTAATTGAGAAAAAAAAAATCAAAACTATCTTCATAATTTATGTCAAGCACTTTGTGTCGAGTATATACCTTTCCACACAACCGGAAAAGAAACTTCTCGAGACAAAAAGAGAAATGAAAATCTATCTACATATGTCCAGCATTTTGTGTCAAGTACATGCGTTTCAATCAAACCTAAGCTACTCTTCTCATTCCAAATATTGCCCTTCTGTGTTTACTACCCCTGCTAACAATACTTCCGCCCACTGTACATAGGAAACTATTTGATGTCATAGAATGAAAGTCAAATGTGACTATCTATAAATTACGTTCTAGCACAATCGATTAATGATAATGGTCAGTAAGCAGATTTGCAGTAACTATGAATGGGCGTGGGTCCATAAATATGGTAATATGGTTCAATGTTACTTGGACTAAATCAGTCATCGAGTGACCAGAAAGCATTCGTTTAAGGTGTACATGTAGTGAATACTCGATTTTAGCCATTAATTGGTATCGGTGAGAAATAAGAGTTTTCCCCAAACGCTAGTTCAATATTATGGGATTGAGACCTGTCTAAACAACTCAGCTTCATTTATTGTTATTAAATCTCGCTCGTGGAAAGGACTGGCGGAAATAGAACTGACGCTTAGAGTCAGTCAAAGGAAAATCGAAAGGCAAATAATACCATTGACTTAAGTACACAACTATGTATCAATATAGGTATACTAATTATATTATCTACCATTATTACTAGAACAGAGATATGCTGATGATTCATATATTATTTATTGTAGTCAGACTACAAGCATTGTATGATATACCACCTGATATAATCTATGATCTTCTTTGCATACAAGAATTGTTTTAAAATATTGTTTCAGACAATAAGAGATGGAGCTTGTCAACATCGTTGATGAATATGGCAACAAAATAGAATATAAGCGTTACCAGGGGCGGCCATTCCACCCAGAAACTCTGGGAAATATCGGTGATCACCTAGCTGAGGTTGCTGCTTACAATGGTCAGACTGACGATGTTCTCCTATGCACATTTCCTAAATCAGGTAGTTTAAGAGGGTTGGTTTAGTTTTGTTTAACATCATATTTGACAGCTAAGATAATTCAAGGGGAACCAGTTGTTGCCATTCCCCTGAATGCTGAACGTTAAGCAGGGAATAACAACTAGCATGTTTAAGGACTTTGGTTTGTCCCGGCCTCGGGACAGAATCCATTTCCTTCCTCGACAGAACCCATCGCCTTCCTTACCCGGGCGAATGCTCGGCATTAAAGCCAAAAGTGAGGTGTGTCAAGCAATGTGATAGGAAATAAAATGTAGTTAGAAGTAGAAAGAAAGACAAAGATCCCAAATATTGCAATGGGTGCAGCAGATTTTCTTTGGTCGCTTTTGTGTCCCCAAATAGAGGAAACCAAAGCAAATCCCCAATTCTGCAGGAGGTTCCCACATTAGTCGCCTCCTTCACTACACGCAGTGGGTAAAAGCAGATGTAATTCTGTTCCCGAACTCCAGCCTGCATGGTGTAGTTTAGGAGAATATGGTTAATACTTGTGATGTAATTGTAATAAGCCTGAATCAAAGATGTTTGCATGATATGCATTTGTAAACTGTTCCTAGTCTATAGAGTCTNTCGATCTGGATTGACTCAAGAATATTTTTATTTTGGTTACTACAGTTATCCCATACTACATCCCCATATTCAAGTATTGGTCTAATAAAAGAGGTATCTTATATCTTGAAGAACTTTTACCTGTAGAAGCTATTAGAAGATAGCAGCTGGAAAATTCTTTACAAAAACTTTAGGGCTAATAGACAGTCTGGGAAGAACATAAATATGTCGGCGGTAGTCTGAAAATGAAGGGATAGCTCTCAAAGATGATCCACGATTACAACGAGTGTGAGGGTACGAGAGATGTTCATTGAAAATCATAGCAATTACTACTAGATATGGATTATTACCATTGATGCTTATTCGCAGAATACATCTTACGACTCAGCGTATATGTACTGTGAGCAAAGTGTTGTTCAGATCTGTATAAGCATACAAGACCGCTTGCACGTCCGATTTTGTCTTCGGAACGGTCATTATGTAATGTTTTGCATTGACAGGAACTCACTGGGTTTTCAACATGGTCCAGATGATACGAGGAAACAATTTGGAATACAGTGGAACACCGGTTGTGATGGAATGTCATCCAATCAGCGATATTGAAAAGGTGCCATCACCGCGCATGTATCACACTCATGCAACATACCCGTTTATCCCTGACGCGGCAAAACGAGGCAACATCAAACTTATACAGGTTATGAGGAATCCCAAGGATTCAGCACTGTCTCATTACAAATTCTTCAAAAGCATGAGGAATATGGCATACGAAGGCACTTTAGACGGCTTCCTCAAGTATTATCTATCAGATGAATGTAAGGCTATTTTCATTCATTGTTATATCGTGAACCAATCTCTTTGAAATTTTTTTTGTTGATAGCAAACTTAATTTGTAACATTTCCTTAATTTCCAAAAAAACCTTTCAGTTGTTGATTAAATATTATGTTTGGGTATTATATTCGCGTATTAATTAAAACAAAATACACATACTTGCAGTTTTAGCAATTTTAGCTCGCATGTGCCAGGTGATTTCAAGCAGTACTGCGTCGTCCGTCGTCCGTCGTCCGTCCGTCAACTTTTTCTTATAAACGACTTCTTCTGAAGAACTGGAGGACCTAGGGTCACGACATTTGACCATTAGGTAAATGGGATGACATGCTATAAACTTGACCTACTTTGAAGGTCACAGAGGTCGAATATGTTAAACAATTCAAACAACAATGTTTAAAGTAGCATCAGGACTAGACTCATAATAATTAGATATGTTATGTACACCAGCAGTGCTAATCTTTTTCTTAATTACAGTAATGAGATCAAAGGTTCACTTTAAGTTCTAGTCAGGGGTCAAAGGTCAACAAGGGTTAAAAACTTGGAATAGAGTGCTATAAAATGTCCTCATTAAAATGACCTTGACCTACTTTCACGGTTACAAGGGTCAACTGTTTGTAATATGTTAAAATCTTCAAACAACAATATCTTAAGAACCATATGGTCTAGAGTCATGATACTTGGGTATGTTATGTAGACCAGCTTTGTGAATCGTTTTCTTTATTACAGTAATGAGTTCAAAGGTCAAACAATTTCAAACAACAATATCCTAAGAACCGTTTGAGAGATGTTAAAATATCTTATGTTCTAGTTTGCAAATTTGGTCTGAAGTTACCTATATGTTAGTTTCAAATAACAAAGAAACAGGTAAGCGATACAGGCCCTCTCAGCCTCTTGTTTAATCCGGAAACATACCTTTGTGTTTGCTATAAAATGTCATTTTGTCACATTAACAGCACATACAGTATATGTACATTGTATACCCTATCACCGTAATATATGTGTACAACAAATACGTGTAAATATTTGATGGCACTATGACTGGAAACATTTTGGGAACATATGATTTTGAAATTTAATGTTTTTAAAATGTGCTTGTTTTTCGGATGGTCAGTAAGTAGTGTCCGTCGCGAGTTCGGAGGTCCCAGATGTGAATTTGGCAACTGTAATTTTCCTTCCATCACACACAACATATGTATGTAAGGTAGATGGTGTTGTGATAACCACCCTTAGGTACATAAATAGTTTAACAAGTTTAAATCCAATGTTGTGACGCCCTTTAATTAGGAAGCTCTTTGGTATTAACCGCTGTTCAGTGGCTGAGTACATAAAGTAGCTGTTGTGGTTTATACCACAGTTAATTGGCCCTGTAAATAAGTAAGTGGTATTTTATTCATTTTCAGTGTATATTTAGTCAGTGTAATGACACTAAGTCATGTTCAGTTTCCTTTAACAGTAAGTAAGATAGTGGCATTTAGTCTTGTTCAGATTCATTTGCAAATTTATTAAATGAAATAGTATTAAGTCTCGTTAAGTTTCCTAGCAAATTTAGTATGTGTAGTGATATTTAGACCTGCTAAGTTTCCTTGTTAATTTAATCAGTGAAGTGGTAGTAAATCCTATTCAGTTGCCACATAAATTTAGTAAGTGTAGTGGTATTATATCTGTTTAGTTTCCGTATAGATTTAGTAAGTGTAGTGGTATTATGTCTGTTTAGTTTCCGTGTAAATTTAGTAAGTGTAGTGGTTTTATGTCTGTTTAGTTTCCGTGTCAATTTAGTAAGTGTAGTGGTATTGTGTCTGTTTGGTTTCCGTGTAAATTTAGTAAGTGTAGTGGTAATATATTTGTTTAGTTTACGTGTAAATTTAGTAAGTGTAGTGGTTTTATGTCTGTTTAGTTTCCGTGTCAATTTAGTAAGTGTAGTGGTATTGTGTCTGTTTGGTTTCCGTGTAAATTTAGTAAGTGTAGTGGTAATATATTTGTTTAGTTTACGTGTAAATTTAGTAAGTGTAGTGGTTTTATGTCTGTTTAGTTTCCGTGTCAATTTAGTAAGTGTAGTGGTATTATGTCTGCTTAGTTTCCGTGTAAATTTAGTAAGTGTAGTGGTATTATATCTGTTTAGTTTCCGTGTAGATTTAGTAAGTGTAGTGGTATTATGTCTGTTTAGTTTACGTGTCAATTTAGTAAGTGTAGTGGTTATATGTCTGTTTAGTTTCCGTGTCAATTTAGTAAGTGTAGTGGTTTTATGTCTGTTTAGTTTCCTTGTCAATTTAGTAAGTGTAGTGGTATTATGTCTGCTCAGTGTCCTTGTAAATTTAGTAAGTGTAGTGCGATTATATCTGTTTAGTTTCCCTGTAAATTTAGTAAGTGTAGTGGTATTATGTCTGTTTAGTTTACGTGTAAATTTAGTAAGTGTAGTGGTTTTATGTCTGTTTAGTTTCCGTGTAGAGTTAGTAGGTGTAATGGAATTATGTCTGTTTAGTTTCCGTGTAAATTAAGTAA